ATCTTTTTTTTTTTTAAGAGATGTCAGTACGCTTGTTTACATCTTTATGTGCAATATTGACACCTTACTTTTTGTGGATTATAGACAGAAATGATTGTTAATTTGTTTTGCGTCTGTATTTACACATGAAAGTTTGGATAGATGTGTGAAACTTTACTGGGAAAAAAGCTCAGGAGTGTCATAAAGATTCATATGTTTGATATTTTATTTTCGATGTGATGAGTTTGAAGTAAGAAAATTGTATGTCATGCAACTGTTTCTTGTATTAGGGAAGTTTCATATTCATAAAGTAAAATGGTCTCTCTCTAAACCTAATTACGATTAGATCTTAACCAATATGTCATCCTTATACAATAAGAAATAAGAAAGCACTGAATGCGATCAGGGCAGTCAAAGAATTTAATATGATATGATTTCCTCTAGGAACCCTTAGCAATGCATGTATTTACGGCTACTGAATGTTTTCTGTACTTCTTGTTATTTTTTGTTTGATAAATAAATAAATAAATTGAAGTAAGTAAGTGAGAGAAAGAGAGAGAGAAAAAGAGAGACAAAGAGAAAGAGAGACAGAGAGAGGAAGAGAGAGAGAGGGAGAGATAGAGAAAGAGAGAGGAAGAGAGAGAGACAGACAGAGAGAGGGAGAGATAGAGAGGAAGAGAGAGAGACTGAGAGAGGGAGAGACAGAGACAGTGAGAGAGAGTGAGACAGTGAGAGAGAGAGAGAGGAAGAGAGAGAGAGAAAGACAGAAAGAAAGACTCACTGCTACCACTGAGATGAGACGTGCAGGAGCTCCAGCAGGACAGAGAAGCGCTGAGGAATGAGCTCACTGCAGTAAGAGAAGAGCTACATCTCAGAGAAGCGACTATTACCAGCCTGAAGGAGGAGCTACAGAGCCTCAAAACCAGCCAGCAAATACTCCATCTCTTAGACAAACAGCCCGCCCACTTCAAGCCACAGACCACCCGCACTGAGCCCTGTCCTACAATATCTGTGTCACGCCCTTCCTACAATGAGCCACACACATTTAAAGAATGAAACCTTTATCTGTCTCTTTATGGAACATTCAGGGCATAAAGTCATCATTATTTGGATACAAAAGCAAAAACAAAGAATTCACAAACAACACAAAGGACATCGACATATATCCCTATATCCCTATACATATATCTCTATATCCCTCCCAGTGAATCCCCTTATTATAATGAAGACATTTTCCCCAGTCTGCACGATCAGATCAGCAGCTTCCAGGCCCAGGGAAGTGGGCTGATCTGTGGGGACCTGAATGCTTGCACTGGATCTCTACCTGACTTCAACACAGAGCAAGGTAACAATTATATTTATTCGGACACCAATACCCAAGAAATATAACTAACTTCCCCCGATACAACTCTGATTCACAGGTGAACAGAAACGGAAAGGACCTCCTGCAGCTCTGTCAGAGTCTGGGTCTGTACATTGTCAACGGTAGGTTATGAGGGGACTCTTTAGGGAGATTTACCTTCTGCTCACCTCTTGGAAATAGTACAGTAGATTATATGATAACAGATTTAGACCCTTTCTCTCTCGGGGCATTCACTGTTAAACCTCTTACCCCTCTGTCTGACCACAGCCAAATTACTGTGTTCATTAAAAGGACAGAGACTAACAGCACTGCACACACTCAGCCCAGTAAGCTGTACAGCATCAGGAGGCCATACAGATGGGCCCAAAACAGCACAGAGGAGTTCCAGAAAGCAATCAGAGACCCCAAAATTCAAACACTTTTAGACAGCTTTCTGGACACCACACAAACTCACAGTAATGAAGGAATCAATCTTGCAGTCAGAAATATTAATCACATTTTTACAACAACTGCTCAAATAAGTAAATTAAAACAATCCAGGAACAAACCCAAAAAACCAAGTGATGACAAATGGTTTGATATTGAATGTCAGAAAATTAGGAAAGAATTAAGGAAATTATCAAATCAAAAACACAGAGACCCAAATAATGCAGAATTACGCCTTCAATACTGTGAGACTCTGAGACTTTACAAACGTACACTCAGAATCAAAAAAGCACAACACACACAAGCACAGCTGACACTAATGGAGGAGTCCATAAGTACAAATAGTTTTTGGGAACACTGAAACACCCTAAATAAACCAAAATCAGAGGAATTGGTCATTCAGAATGGAGACATATGGATCACACATTTCAAATCATTATATAGTAAAGTACCCAGCAACATCAAAGCTGAACAAAACAACATAACTGAAAAACTAAACATATTAGAATTGGCAATAAAAGGGTTCCAGAATCCCCTGGACTCCCCCATTACTGAGCAGGAACTGAGAGATAAAATATCTCATCTAAAACCTAAAAAATCAAGTGGGCCTGACGGCATATTAAATGAAATGATTAAAAACACAAGCAAAAAATTCCAATTGGCGCTTCTCAAACTTTTTAACATGATTCTGAGTGTAGGTTATTTCCCTGACATCTGGAGTCAAGGTCTTATTACGCCCATCTACAAAAGTGGAGATAAATTCGACCCTAATAACTACCGAGGCATCTGTGTGAACAGTAATCTGGGGAAGGTGCTCTGCAGCATTATCAATTCCAGACTCATAGACTTCCTTATGAAGCACAGTGTCTTGAGTAAAAGTCAGATTGGATTCATACCAAATCACCGCACATCAGATCATATTTACACCCTACACACCCTAATCAATTTACACGTAAATCAAAATAAAAACAGAATTTTTGCATGTTTCATTGATTTCGAAAAAGCTTTTGATACTATTTGGCACAACAGACTATTTTATAAAGTTTTTGAAAGTGGTTTAGGGGTAAAACATATGACATTAAATCTATGTACACAAATAACAAATGCGGTATAAAAATTGGCAACAAAAGGACGGCTTTCTTCTCTCAGGAGCGCGGAGTGAGAAAAGGCTGCTGCTTAAGCCCAACTCTATTCAACATTTATATTAATGAATTGGCCACAGCTTTAGAGCACTCTGCAGCACCTGGTCTCACTCTGCACGACTCAGAAATCAAGTTCCTGCTCTATGCAGATGACCTGGTTCTGCTGTCCCCCACAGAGCAGGGCCTACAGCAGAAACTGGACCTGCTGGAGCAGTACTGCCAGACCTGGGCCCTGGCAGTAAACCTGATAAAGACCAAAACAATCATTTTCCAAAAAAGATCCAGATCTCAGGGAAACACATCCAGCTTCACAATAGAGACACACAGATTAGAAAAATGTAAAGAGTTCAATTATCTAGGATTGAAGATAAGTTCAACTGGAAACTTCAATCCAGCAGTCAATGAGCTGAGAGAGAAAGCGCGGAGGGCATTTTACGCAATCAAATGACAAATTCACTTTCAAATACCAATTCAAATCTGGCTTAAATTATTCCAATCAGTTATAGAACCGATTCTCCTGTATGGCAGTGAGGTATGGGGGCCACTCTCAAATCTAAATTTTGACCTCTGGGACAAACACCCAGTAGAAATCCTGCACACCGAATTCTGTAAAAACATCCTGCAAGTTCACAGGAGAACAACAAACAACGCCTGCAGAGCTGAATTAGGCCAATTTCCACTACTGCTCAAAATCCAAAAAAGAACCATTAAATATTGGCTACATCTAAAACACAGTGACCCCCATTCTTATCACTACAAAGCCCTGCAATGCCAAGAGCTGAGCAAAAAGAAGAGCCCCCTCACACAGCTGGTCCTGGTGCTGAGTTCACTAACACACACTAACACTGTTACCCGACCAGCCTGTAATACACACAATCAGACCAAACCAAATTATAACACTCCAAAAACAAAACTACATCACCCACTGGAACACAGACACACCCACAGAGCACAATGCTGTGCTATCTGGCCCTAAAACATCAGTACACTGTAGCGGAGTACCTGAACACAGTGACTGACACTAAACACAGAACCATGCTGACAAAGTACAGACTCAGTGACCACAGCCTGGCCATGCAGACCGGCCGCTATAAGAGATCCTGGCTGCCTAAAGAGCAGAGACTCTGCCAGCAGTGTGACAGTAACACTGTAGAGACAGAGCTGCACTTCCTCACTGAGTGTAACAAATACAAAACACTAAGCAAAATATACTTTAATAAATTTCAGAAGATTCACCCCCAATTTAGCCGCCACAGTAATAATGAGAAGCTGCCCATCCTGCTAGGAGAGAGGAGAAAGAGCAGCGCCTTAGCAGCACGATATGTATCTACCTGCCACAATATGAGGGACAGTGAGTGACCCACCCAAATACAGCACACACACAGAAACACAGACACAAACACACACACAGAAGATATCTAAAACTGCTGTTTTTTTTTTTGTTGTTGTTTTTTAATTTATTATTTTTCCTCTTAATTTTTCTTTACAACTCAATTCCAAAGCACTATTTTAGCTATTATTTTATGTGATTCTTGTCATAATTATTCTTATATCAAATGAAATTAAGAGTTCTTATGCTCTTGTTCTAAAGCTCTATGTTCTAAATGTTAATTCTTCTTGTTTCTTTTTTTTGGATGCTTTGGCAATACTGTAAATGAATATGGTCATGCCAATAAAGCTTACTGAATTGAATTGAAATTGAATTGACAGAGAGAGAGACAGTGAGAAAGAGAGGGAGAGACAGAGAGAGAGAGACACAGACAGAGAGAGAGAGAGACAGTGAGAGAGACACACAGACAGAGAGAGAGAGAGAGAGAGAGAGAGAGAGAGAGAGAGAGAGAGAGAAGGCAAACCTGGCTGCAACTTTAGCTCGACCTTGTAAAAGGGGGCGGGAGATTGTGCTAGCCTCGATGTTCATTGGCCAGTTCTGTTTTCCTCGGGCCAATCACGTTCACGCCTTCACGCCCCGGAATAAGAAAGCGATGGAACGTGAACGGCGGGATTTCTCGTGTTTACAAACTGTTTTACGAAGTTGAGACCAGAAGTTTCACAGATTTCAACATCATTTTTAGAGTCTGACGGCTGGAAACATGTGTGAAAAGAGCAAAAGGGTGAGTTCACCTCCTCAGCTCTTCAGACTGAGCGCGTGTGAGGAGCAGCAGACGAGAAAATGAGATGTTTTATAGCTACAACCACAGAGACACACACGGACATCTCAGGACATCTGGGCGTGCAACGTTATGTCTGTGGCAAACGGCAGCAAAGAGTCACTTCTCTGTCTTTCAAAGCGGTTTTCTGAGTAAACTGTCACGCAGACAGAGCTGTTTTCCTTAAGCCTGTCAGAACAAGCTCATTTACATATTTAGTCTTTAACACAGAGTAACAGAAATAGCCGTTTAATACTAACGGATAAGGAGAGGTTGTAGAAAATGGTTATGAAAAATCATTTATGGCTGCTTTTAGATCAGAAAAACTAAAAATGTCATAAGTGGACCTCAGGGGAAAGCTAAGACCTGCTATAACTTTGGACCTACATAAAGGTTTGTTTGGAGGTTAAAGAAACAAAGCAATACTGTATCTGTAGTAAGACTAATGTTTCTGCAGTGCTGTGTAAAACTTCTGTAATAGTCTGTAATACTTGTGTAGTATCCTGTAGTATACAATGTTACATATCTGAATTTACTATAAGATTTGTACAAGAATGCTGTAGAAATGTCTGTAGTGTTACAACAGACCTTCTTCATAAAGAAAGCGTGTATGCCATGAAGTGAGGGTCCAACGCTTCCAGCGCCTGCTCAAGTGACACACGTGGTAAATTCACCAAAGTGGACACTGTTTGCCAAACATTGCTATCAGAATCAGCCTATCAGAATCACTCACCAGTGACTCACAGTGCTTCTAGGCAACTTTTATTCATGTTCAGCATGCAAGAAGCAACATCTAAGTAACATTTATTCATAAGCACACATGACGCATCATCTAGGCAACAGTTTTCATATTTATATCTTCATATTCATCTTTTTACTTGTGTTCAGCACACATCCAGAAACATCTAAAACACATTTATTAGCAGAGGTGGGAGCAAGCCACTAGGTTGCCAGTAACAAGTAAGCCTCAAGTCTTCACACTCAAGTCCCAAGTCAGGTCCCAAGTCAAGATAGTCAAGTCTCGATTTAAATCCCGAGTCGGTACAGGCGAGTCTCAAGTCGAGTCCTAAGTCAATAGTCCTGATCTTCGTGTCCTAAACAAGTCAGTGTGCATTCTTCAGCTAGGCCACAACACTGAATAACAGTACTATAGCCTTTTAATGTCAGGACGTCAGCAGTGTGTGGCTGTAGATTAATTTGTTTTTGTTTTTGTTTTTTTTTTTTACTCTTCCAACTAAAATACAAAATCCATGGTACACAGATAACCATGACAGGCAGACTGTATGCACAAAGAGTAGTGCACTCCGCACAAAAAGAATTTTAAAAGTTCTACCGAACTTAATAAAAAAATTGTATTTAAAGATCATTTTTGATTATTTTTTGGAACATTGGGTGCACAGGATTAAAATAAAAACTAGCTCAGGCAACTAAAAACGGCCAATAGTTTGGATTGAATTTAGACGACAAAAAAAAACCCAAAACGACCGAGCTGAACAAAGTTTACAGTAAAGACAATAAAATGATGGTGATTGTGCGAAGCTGAAGTTGACTTTTTTTTTTTTTGGACTTGAGTCCAAGTCATATGACTTGAGTCCAAGAGTCTAGAGTCTAGAGTCTCTGTTATTAGTAATCAGCACATGTACAGCAACATCTAAGTAGCATTTGAAATGATAGGCTCACAAAATCAGCAGAGTGGAGTTCTTGACTGTCCTAGTTAACCTGAACTGACCTTAAATCCGTTGAACAGGTGAACAGGTGGCTGGGGTCGGTTTTCGGCGAGCAGGCGGTGCCAGAGTTTGAAGTGAGCGCACGCACCATGGAACTTCTGGACCAGCTCGTGCAAATCAGTGAAGCGAGGTGTGAGGAGGTCAAGCTCCTCATAGATGACCACAGGCAGAAAGCTTCAGAGTACAGCAGTGATGGTAAGAAGGACTGAGATCTATCTTCATTAATAGGCTCGGTTGCCAGATTACAGGTTTGACTGAAATGGCCAGCATTGCCAGTTATTTTCAACTAGCCCACTTTTTGAGTTTGCTCTGAAGGCCATTTGTTCCACATGTACCACATTCAGGCTAATGTTCGTTTTGGTGAAACAAGACAGTTTAGAATCATACGTGATCCCATGTATGAAGTTAAATGAATTCTGACCCCTCTGTGATTGTTTGGTTCTATTTTTCTTTGTATGAATCTAAGTTCTGATCTGATGCCAACATTGTACAACATAAGCATCGTGAAGAAGGTACACTGTATGTCCAAAACCTGCTCATCCAACGTTTTTCCATAATGAAGTGTATTAATAGGGAGTTTGTCCTTGTTTGCTGCAATAACAGCCTCTACCCTTGTGGGAAGTCTTTACACTTGATGTTGGAACGTTGTTGTGAGGATTTGATTGCATTCAGCCACAAGAGCATTAGTAAGGTACTACTTGATACTAGGACACTGATGACTTAAACTGTTCCCTGCTATAGGTGCCCACTTACAGGAACTGCTTCATCAGAGTGTCGGGCTGCAACCTGGAAATGTTTCGAAACCCACTTCAGACCTTCTGTGTGTGTTAGAAGGCACTGCTGAGGCACTGAAAGTTAAAGACACATCCATGGGGAGGTAAAACACGCACATTTCTAGGTTCACTTACTCTGAAAGCACATAATTGTCCTCATTGTTTATTGTGTACTTGGAGATTCGCTCGAGGACTTACAGTACTAAGTTGTCGTGTTGGTAAGATCATTGCACAGTGGCAGAGTATCACTAATCACCTCTGGCTCTGCAGTTTTGTCCCCGCAGTTAATAAACTCACCAATGACCTGGCCGAGGCAGAGAAGGCTGACCGGAGGTTGGGACGGGAGCTCTCGGCTGTGAGGAAGAAAATGGCTGCCACAATAATACTTCGGAAAAAATTGCAAGAGTAAGAGAACGCATATGTTTGAGGGTTTATTATTGATTATATTAGAAATGGTCTATGGAGTAATTTCATTAGGGGTGCCCGATCAGAATCAGGAAAAGTCAGCATTTACTTATATTTGCTCCAAATTAACAAGATGCTACTTTACTCTTTTTATTTTGGTCGATCTGTGTTGCAGTTCAATGAGGTCAATAACATGAGGCATGTAAAATGCTAAAATGTCATAGTATAATTATCCTTGACTCATTTATCTGATTCATGTTAGTTAAAGGGCTCATAATTTGGAAAGCTGAATTCCAACTTCATATTATTCACTTCCCAATCTATACAGTTCACATATGGAAACTAAGCTCCAGAAACTGCCTGTTTTTCATTAATTTTGTGAGGTCATGAAAACCAACACGTTTACACATATTCAGCCTACAGCAGTTTGGCTCTGCCCACTCACTCTGAAGATATAAGGGGTATTTCACTGAGGACAGTTTTTGAATGAGGGCACAACACAGACAGCCAGTCAGAACAGAGCTCATTTACATACCAGTCTTCACATAACAAACATCCTGTTTAATTCTGAGAGATAAAGTCATGTAAAACTTAATTGTGACTGTTTTTGGTAGATAAATCGCTACAAACATCATACATGAGTGTCAGGTTTTTTAATTCAAGGAATTATAACAGGCCAGTTTGAGCAAATGTTATTTATTCCTCAACCGTGTGAGCTTCAGGTATTTCTGAAAAAAAAAAAAGCCCATTGACCAGTCTGGCTGTAAGAAATTGCGGTCAGCCAAAAAAAATCATGAACACCTCTGATTTTGATGATTAATCAAGTAATGAGTCACACAAAAAATGGGCTTAATTGAACAATAACAAATAATGCATAGCCTTTCAAGAATTCAGGACCACGTTATTGGAAGAAGATAAACTTTAAGCTCAGTGAAACCACTATTTGATAAAAATACTTATGTGTGAGTCAATCAATTTGTGATCTCAGTGTGATGTGCATACTCAACTCTAATATTTGCATGAACTCAATAACCCAGTAATTTATGCAAATTGTATGTTTCTTTCATAGAATTAACAGGTAATTACAAAGGAAACAAAAACATCTGAACTAAAGACGGATTAGGCTGTGTTCAACTTTGTTACCCTGTTCTCCAGTGGTCAGGACCCCCACAGACCAGGTATAATTTGGGTGGTGGATCATTCTCAGCACTGCAGTGACACTGACGAGGTGTTGCTGTGTTAGTGTGTGTTGCGCTGGTCTGAGTGGATCAGACACAGCAGTGCTGCTGGAGTTTTTAAACACCTCAGTGTCACTGCTGGACTGAGAACCAAAAAATATCCAGCCAACAGCATCCTGTGTGCAGCGTCCAGTGACCACTGATGAAGGACTAGAGGATGACCAACACAAACTGTGCAGCAGCAGATGAGCTATCGTCTCTGACTTTACATCTACAAGGTGGACTGACAAGGTAGGAGTGTCTAATAGAGTGGACAGTGAGTGGACACCGTGTTTAAAAACTCCAGCAACACTGCTGTGTCTGATCCACTCGTACCAGCGCAACACACACTAACACGCCACCACGTCGTCAGTGTCACTGCTGAGAATGACCCACCATCCAAATAATACCTGCTCTGTGGGGGTCCTGACCTTTGAAGAACAGGGTAACAAAGTATGAAATAGGGACTACAGTCTGTAATTGTAGAACTACAGAGTGAAACTATATGTATATCAGTGGAGCTGATTAAAAGGACAGTGAATGTAGAAACACGGAGGTGTCCCTAATGAAGTGGTGGTCAGTGTGTTTATGTATGTTTTTTAGGGACCTGAGGAAGACCACGCAGGCCCAGCAGGTGGAGGCAGCTACAGCAGAGGAGAGACTGCTCAATATGGACTTCATGAAGAATAAATCCAGAGACCTCACATACAGGAACAAGATAGCACAGGTGCGTGAGTGAGACGGTCATAGCGTATGTATGAGTGGCTGGTGTTCCAGTTTTCTGACCGTATGATGTTCATTCGCATTGCTTGCCTTTTTTTGTGGTTATTGTTTATTTCTTTGCTTATTGTTCGTGTGGTTTTAGGACAAACTGGCCTCTAGACAGATGGAGGACTCTCTTACCCATCAAGCCATTGTGCAGCTTTCAGAAGTATGACAAATATCCTCTCTGTCCCTGTATTTGGATTTTTGATTTGTTTGCATTAGTTTGAAGATCATTAACAAAATGTTTGTGGGGACTCCCGAGTGGCACAACTACCTACCCATTTCTTATTTTTACCCCTACCCCTGGTTTTCAACTGTCACCTTACCCCTTGTAACTCAACTACTAAGTGGTTGAAATCTTCCCCTATGAAATGAAACAATCCTCAAATAAAAAGAGCATCACTTCATTAACAGCTACTAGCGCTGCTCTGTAGGCGACTCTGCCAGTCTGCAGTGACAGCAGAGGAGGGTAAAGTTCAGCTCCTCACTGCTGGGCTTTAGTTACATTTAGGGCATCATATGACTTTAAAGAGGGGGGGGCAATTATTTATTATCGCTAATCCTTCAGTGATATGAAGCTGAAGTCAGATATTCACCAGATTCTTGTTCAAATTTTCCCGTTTCACCTTAAATAGTGACGCAGTTCTGATGACTGAGGTGCCAGAATGTAACTGCCATTCTGCCATTGTAGGTGGAACAGGAAATTTAGCTAGCTACCGAGACATCAGCACACTACTTGTGACTTTATATGCTTGTTATGAAGAAAAGGACCAAAATACACTGAAACAACATTAAACTAAGATAAAACAATGAAAATCATATTTTTTTAATAGAGAAAATTCTCACATTGGTGGGTTTCTTTGGTCTCTTGTGCAGCCATCTTGCCTGTTTTTCTCTTTTTTCTCATAACACTCCATTTGGAGCGTGCCTCTGAAAACAGAGGTGAACGCACAAAACGGAGGGGTAAGGGCTCAGTGATGGGGCGAGGGGTGAAATGGGATTGGGCCTAAGTGTTTTTTGTAAGCCCTTCAGCCATCTGTGGCTGGGAGTCCAAGAGAGCAAAATAATACAAAATAATAACAGGGACGTCCTGATTTAAGTGTTCTGTGGTGCAGCCACAGTCCTGTTTCACTTCACCCTCCTCCCCACAGCTCACTTGATTCATTCAGCTAATTGCTAAAATGCTATTTTCCATTGTCATGGTAAAGACTGTAGTGTAGGTTCCTGGTATAGCAGTTCATAGGTGTTGAGATGTTAATGAGACATTAAAGTGAGATTAGAACGAATTCTTTCATTTCTTTAATCTGTTGTTTTTTAAAATTTACAGAAAACGACAGCACTGAAGCAGGAAATTGTACCACTCATGAAGAAATTGGAGCCCTACAGTGACCTGAGCCCTGTAAGGAGAATCGCCTCACAGTGCTCTGTTTAGGCTTGTATACCTGTAGAACCAGTGCCTTGTACACCCTCAGTAGTGCACTGCATGTGACACGTGATGGTAGCTTGAGATATAGCCAGAAGATTACACATTAAGGAATTTGCTGTGTATGGAAGACACATTTGGCCTGCTTTTGGTGTTACAAAATGTTATAACATGCATAAGACACGATTATGATGATTTAAAGCTGGACAAGAGTCTAAAGGTGTATACATAGGAATTTATAACATACGCACATTTTAAGTATTTTTCACAGATGAAGATGGTAAACAAAGAAAATTCCACCGTTTTTTTTAAACATTCAACGTAAGTCAGTGGTTAAATTGTGCTCATTCAGAGTGGTTTGGTGTAAAATGCTCTGTTCTAGAGAAACTTACAGAGTCAGAATTGTTCAGTGGTGGTGATAGGAACCAGACATCTGAAGAGTTACACTTCCCTTGTTGTGGACCAATGATGCGTTGTTGCATTTTAGTTATTTAAAATAAGACGTATTTAAAATTGAACCAAAAGGTGTAAACAAAATTCATACATTCATAGTAAACCCACACTGTCTATTCTATAATTAACAATTCAGTAGGGCTGAAAGATTTGTGAATCGTTTTTATATCGAAATCAATTTAAGACTGCAGTTTTTATTAAATCAAGCAAGCAAGCAAAGTTTATTTACATAGCGCTTTTTACAACAGGTGTTGTCACAAAGCAGCTTTACAAGGAAATCAGCATTACAGAAAGAAATCCGGGTCCAAACACCCATGAGCGTCGCCAGAGGCGACAGTGGCAAGGAAAAACTCCCGAAGAGAAACAGGAAGAAACCTTGAGAGGAACCAAGAGTCAGAAGGGGAACCCATCCTCCTCTGGTCGACACCGGATAGCAAACATTGTTAGTACAAAAACGGGGAAAACAGGTGGAGCAATGATTAATTTGATTAGTTTAGTTCATGCAGCAGCAGCAGCAGCAGCACCAGTGGGGTCAGGTTGTGAGGGTGAGGTTTGCACGGCGAACAGTGGCACCCGATCAAGGCAGAAGAGGCAGCAGCATCAGACGCACAGGATGGGCAGCTGTTCAACTCGGCAAAGAAAAGAAAGGAAAAACACACAGAGTCAGTTCTGTAATGGGTGACTGATCACAGATTACAGTGTTAGCAGAGCAGCGGAGACTCTGGCAGGTATAGAACCGACAGGGAAAACTAATTACCAAAGGCTTGACTATACAAGTACGTTTGTAGCCTAGACTTAAACACTGAGGCTGTGTCTGAGTCCCAAACATTAACAGGAAGACTATTCAAAAGCTGGGGGGCTTTGTATGAGAAGCTCTCCCCCCTGACGTAACTTTATTAATTCTAGGTACTAATAGTGAGCAGCACCTTGTGATCTAAGTAGGCGTGATGGTTCATAGTGAGAGAGAAGTTCACTCAGGTACTGAGGGGCGAGTCCGTTTAGTGCTTAGTGCTTTTTAAATCATAGCCTACATTCTTAAAAAAAAGTTTTTCAAGGCTCTTGGTTGATGGTTCTTTACTAAATTATAGAACCACGAACACTCAAAGAACCATTTGCATGCTAAAATTGTTCTCTGCATGGTGAAATGGTTCTTTAGATTGATAGAGAATGTGTTGTTTATGGTTCAGTGTAGCACCAAAAAGCGTTCTGCAATTGTTACGATGTCAAGCTTGTAATAACAGAAGAACATTTTGGTGCTGTGTAGACCCCTTTCCAAAAAGGTGCTATGTAGAACCATACACAACACTTTCAGTTTAAAGAACCGTTTCACCAAGCATGAAATGGATCATCGAGTGTTTATGGTTCGATATGAAACCATTGCTTTTACTAAAGAACCCTTGAAGAACCATCTTTTTTAAGTGTGTACATTAGCAACAACGTTTTAAGAGTGAAAAATTGAACCTATAAGAGTTTGTTAAATGGCTGTAGATGAGTTAGACCAATCAGAGGCAACCAAACCTCCATGGGTTGTGACATCACAAACACAACTTACTGGCAGTTTGGCACACTGCATTCAGGTGGGGGTCAAGCCTCAAGCCAGAAAAGGTGGATATTATGGTCTTCTTGGGTGAAATAAATCAATTCTGAATCTCAATTTAGCTAAAATCGCAATTTAATTTGCAGTCGCAATATTAGTCGGAAAAATCGCGATTAGATATTTTCCCCAAATCGTTCAGCCCTACGATTCAGAGCTTATGAGGAGAAGATAAAACACACGCACATGTCAAAGCATCAGAAACGCGTCTTTTCCATGAACCAAAGCAGACAGACCATTCTGTCTTTGGTCAGTTTAGACGACTTGGTTTATATTGCTTTTATACTTCAAACACCAGAATTCGCTTTAAAGCAAAACAAGATCATCCTGCTCAGGGAGTCCCGGTCCACTTATTTGGTGCACCAGAGGATAGCAGCGTTCTCACTCATTCTAACATACTGCACTAACAGAACAATCGCACCAGGGTTCTAAGCTCCCTCACATAAAGTTATTACATGAAATAGTAATAAACATGCTGTCTGATAGGCTTTAAAAAGTACTAAAAAGTACTCTTAAAGCCGTTTATGGTGGAGGGGTACATGCAGATAGTTGTGAGACAAAATACAACGTAAAGATTATTTTTCAGATTTATCACTATTTTATCAATATGAACATTCTGTATATACACTCAGAAGATGCGTGTAGGTTCACTGGTGGTTCTGGATAGTAAATAAAATGTCTATATTTGTGTTGTAGACATAGTGACCCCTGGTTCCCATCACCACCACTGTAAAGACATCCGAGTCTCTACAATCAACCATTTCACACCAAACCACTCCGAATGTGTTTCGGTCTTATTGTGTGAATTATGCAGGAATTTTGAAAAATTAGTGGAATTCTCCTGCCTGTTTGATCAGAGATGTAATTAATTGATGCTTTCATCCACAGAGTCCCGCCCTGGCTCGGGTTAAAATTGAAGAGGCAAAGAGGGAGCTGGTATGTTTTACTATGTACCTCCTTTACCAAAAGATGCTGACTGTTTGTGATATTAATTAGTATGTTTTTTTAATGTGTGTCTGTTTGGTGTGTTTATAGGCAGCCCTCGATGCTGAATTGGAGCAGAAGGTGGACTTGATGAACGCTTTATCTAAATAACCTACTGAGATGAGAAGCTTTCCTGTCATTAGTGTAGATACTGAGCTAATTTTGTACCAACTTTCTGCTATTCTTATACACTCACTGGCCACTTTGTTGGGCACACCCCCCTTGTATCTACACTCAGTGGTTCCCAACCCAGTCCCCCAAAGTTGGACCACATTTTTCATTCATTTGTTTGTGTTGAAGCGAAAAGTGTGGACCGTCTGGAGGAGGGGTCTGATGACTGGTTTGAGAATCACTGGTCTATTTTATCAGCTCCACCTACAATATAAGTGGACTTAGTAGTTCTGCGGTTACAGACTGTAGTCCATCTGTTTCCCTGCATACTTTGTTTTCTGTTATTACGTTTATCAGTGGTCAGGACCCCCACTAGACCACCTCAGAGTATAAGTCGTGGATCATTCTCAGCACTGCAGCGACACTGATGTCGTGGTGAGTGTTGTGCTGGTACAAGGCTTGTCACAATTATTACCACCTGATTGCAGCTATTTCGACGCTTGTTAGCTTTCACAGCCATATGTTTAAATCACACATTGATTTATTGGGGTTTTAATCTGATGAAAGGTGGGCTAACAAACTATGTAGAAAGTCTGTAATTGTACAACTACAAAGTGCCTCTGCTTAAACAGACAGTAAGTGCAGATACAAGGCAGGTAGACCCAATAAAGTGACCAGTGAGCGTTTTTTTTTAATAAGACGTGGCCATAAATTACTATATTGAGGCCACAGAATTAATATAAACATTAATATATTAATTTGTGGCCACGCTTTATTAAAAATAATCACGGTGTTGCTCTGTACTTCTCAATGTTGAGGTGAAAAATAAATAAACCAGCTGCTCTCCAAACCAGCCGGTGGCGCCTTTTGTTGTGGACTGAAACGAACGAACGGAAACGACATTGTACGTTAGCCCGCTGAGCTAAAGGGTCGCGGAGCTGAGACGCAGTGAGAACCTGTTAGCGCTGCGTGCTGTTCAGTTTTATATGAGCGCCTGTGCTAAAAGGACCAGTCGACCTACGATGCTGAGAAGAACACGTACATGAGGATAGCCTTGATCCAGGTGCGCTGCGCTTCATCGTCGCCCGGGAAAGTTAACCTACATGTCGGCACGGCTTCGCTCGTTAGCCTAGCCTGAGTGCTAACGCTAGCTCGGTTAGCTAAGTAACGGAGCTTAAGTCGGGTTCCTACGCGACTGCTTCTTGTTCAGATTTTTCCGTTCCACCTTAAATGGTGCAGCGGTTACGTTATACTTGTTCGGTTTTTTCCGCTCCATATTAAATGGTGCAGCAGTTGCACTCTTCTTGTTCTGATTATCCCGTTCCACCTTAAATGGTGCAGCAGTTACATTCTTCTTCCGCTCCACCTTAAATGGTGCAGCGGTTACTCTGGCGCCAGAGTGTAACTGCTGCACCATTTAAGGTGGAACGGGTCAATTAGAACACGAAGAATGTAATTGCTGCACCATTTAAGGTGGAACGGGACAATTAGAACAAAAAGAGTGTAACTGCTGCACCATTTAAGGTGGAACGGGACAATTAGAACACGAAGCTGACCAATGGGAAGCCAGCCTTAGCCTTGTAGGTTAGCTAAGTAACCGTACACTCTAAGTTTTAAGCGCTTTTTTAGCCGTTTACTAATAAGAATGGAAGTGAAATAATGTTGTTGAGCTCTTATCTGCTGAGGTTTTTACGGAAAATATGACTTTTTGGAATGTAGTTTCGGTTTATGTCGTTAGCTTTGTAGCCAGGAGCTAACTTCCAAAGTAATGTCGCATGCTAACCTCGGTTGGCTAGCCGCGTTAGCTTAGCGTGCTGAGAAGGTAGCAGAGCTGAAAAGTACGAACTGCAGAGACTGTAGACGGAGCTTTAGTGTTTGGGTCTAACTGAGAGGGAAGGTTTCACGGCTTTGTAATGAGGTTTTGTGTTTCTCAGTCTTGCTCCTGTAGTAAAGACTGTACAGAGTAGATAGCTCAGTGTCTGCCAGCCTTAAAGGGGATCTCCACCGATTTTTCAAAATTTCTGAATAATTCACTCCTTGAGATGTAAACAGAGTGATTCAGAGCGGTTTGGTGTGCAGTGGTTCAGATGTCTTTACAGTGGTGGTGATAGGAAGCTGGGGTCACAATGACTACAATGAACACAAATATATAGACATTTTATTTACTATCGAGAACCACCAGTGAACCCACACGAGTCTTCTGAGTTTATAGGTTATGAAGTGTTGATGATGGGAAAATAGTGGGAAATCTGGAGGAAAAAAAAAAACTTTTCTTTGGTGAATGTTTTACCTCGCAACTACCTGCATGTACTCCTCCGCCATATTCATTCATTCATAACCATTTTCAGGTAGTCACTTTTAAAGAGGGAGTTTTTAGAGGAGGACGTCTGGTTCCTATCAGCACCATTGTGAACAATTCTGATTCTTAGTTCTCTATAACTGAGCATTTCACACCAAACCACTCTGAATGACTTGGTTTACATCTCAAGGATGTAAAATCAGTGGAGCTTCTATTTGATGAATTCCCAGCTCTTCATTGAGATACAATAGAGATTTGATGCAAGAAAGCACTGCTTTTTATTGTTAGCAGAAGGTGCAAAAATTTCAGTCATGTTTTTTCTGCATTTTTGGAAAGGGGAGAGTAAACTGAGTTCACCGAGCTGGACAGTGTTTCTAGAAATAACCTTGGTTTTAAGGGCCAGTGTCCCACATTACTGCTGTTTTTAACTTGCGTGCCAAAAACAGTTGTAACTCAATATTAGTACAAGAGAATTTTTATCCCAAAGGCAAGCTGTTTTTATTACAGTAAGACTGACCTATGTAAATTAGCTCTGTTCTGATTGGCTGCACTGTGTTGCGCCCTCATTCACAAAGCAGTCAGGGTTGAAACGCACCTTATTACTTCAGTTTGAATGGGTGGAGCTAAAGTGCTGAAGGCGGAAATAAGTAGATCTGATGTCATCACAAAAACAGCGAGTTCAGAGCTGCCTCTTTTTGCAGTGTAGTACTCTTCGCAGGGCAGGGCAGTCCAGCTGCAGTAAACCTGGCCATTAACAGATGAGTTGAACTAGGTATGTTTGTATAGGAAGTTCACCAATAGTGATAGACCAGAACCAGAGATGAAGACCCCTCTTTTAGGGCTTTTTCTGTTCACTAGTAGGGGTGGGCGAAATGGCCAAAATCATGATACTTCTAGACATTTTCCTGGCATGGGATATTCGTCCCGTAAAGAAGTCTGTACATTTTTCAGTAAATTCAGTTAAACGGCAATTTTATGCTCATTATGTTTTGAAAGATGTGTTAAGTTTACTCATATCTGTACGTTAGATCAGAGTGTCTCAGCCACTGGGCCGAGGACCACAAGTGGGCTGCGAAGCACCCCTTGGTGGTCCTTGGACCTATTCTCAGGGGGTGCAGTGGTCCAGAGTGAGCCAGTGATAGCACTTTGTCATAAACAGTGGGGGGGAAAAAAAGAAATGACTTAACGATAACACCGTTAACAACATTAATACCAGCCCCGCAGTAACAGTGCGCAAAGGCAGCTTTGTCAGTGTTTTTGCGCTTTGCATCTAGAAACAGCTGACCATTCAGTTGTCCACTCCCACTCGTATTTGCTTATGTTTTATGTTCACTGATACACATCACATATCGCAGGGATAAGCACCCAAACATCACTGTGTTGAAAATTAAGCAAAACCGTTGAGTTTGTTTTCTTGTGGCCCTTCATGCCTTCTGGTGATGAACAGGAGGGCCTTGAGGTAGAAAAGGTAGAAAAAAAAACACTGTGTTAGGTTACACTTTGCTGCCCCTTGTGATGCTTGCATTGCCAAGGAATCACTTAAGCTTTACCGCTAACTAGGCGAGCTACTCTAGGTGACATTATCTGAGTCCAGAAACAGTGGAATTTTGCGTATATTTTTATTATAAATATATATTTATATATAGGCAGCCTCTGTTACTCATCCAACGTGGAAAGCTTCCAGTTTCCCCTCTGCTGTTTTTGAATAGTTAAACTATTTACTTGAAATAGTTTAAGTAAATAGTTAAGTTAAAAAAGTAAGCCTAAGTTAGCCAGTTATCCATTTTTTAACGCTTATGGATACTCAAATGTCAAAAGTAGTCTGAATCCACGTCCCTAGAACAGACAAAAACAGTCCCAGCAGTGCCACATTTAGAAATAATAATTAAATTAATAGGATTAAATACTGTATTGTGTAGGTCTGATGTTCTCTTTCTAATGAAACATGCAGTTATTCATTGAGTACAGTATCTGTGATGCCTGCATTAAGTTGTGTTCTAATGAAACTTGTCACGATAGTGATAAATATAGTTATAATGCCTTCTTCATTTTATAATGGATTTGTTAGCAGGGAGGCTCAAAGGCTATGTTTACAAAGCAGGTAAAAGTGGCCCAAATCAGATCTTTTAAATGTGACCCATTTGTGACATCAGTCTGAGCAGATCAGCTCCTAAACTCCCGCAGGATCAGCTTCATCTTCACCAGCATCACAGGAGCCATCATGAAGCTTCACTGACTGACAGCTGAGCTCATCACCAGAATGTGTTCGAGCCGTGAAAAGGGAGCGGTCACTTCTTTGGTTCGTGTTAACCGTTTTAACTGTTGACTGCGTTCAGCCTTTTCTTTAGAAAACTCTTTGAACACGGAGGATTTTGGATGAGTCTTCTGTTTTTTTTGTACAGAAACATCAGCCTAAATGTTTGAGTCTCAGCAGCTCGAAATTATGATGAATGTCGAGTTGGATTGACGTAAAAGTGGCGTGAATTCCGATCCAGATGTTCAGACTGAGTTGCTTTGCTGCAGATCGGCTAAGTATCAGATTTCAGTACAACATCTGGAAGCGTCTCAAATCAGAATTGAAAATATCAGATTCAGTGTGTTTATCTGTTCACACTGACACACAGACACACATCTGTGTCACATATGAGGAAAAAGATCGGATTTGGGCCACTTCTACCTGCTGTGTGAACACAGCCTAATTCCTCTTTGCACCGTGCATTAACGTGTTTCATCTCTGGATAAACTTTGGCCAAGTTCCATCTACACTTATCACTAAAATGCGCCCCATTGTGGCCAGTTGAGACCTGAAATTACTTCTCCCATGTACAAAGAACGTCAGCACATCGTTTCTGTTTTACCTGTGTTACAGTGCGAGTGGAAAAGCTCGGCTTGGATGCTTTTTTAGGCCTGGAGTGCAAGAAGGCTCTTGCTTTGGGACTCCGGCCTCGAGTGCCCTCCGTCTTTCGTTTTGTTGTTTATCCTCTCACCTGCCAGTCAGCACTCGGCAGGTGCACTTCTGCTCACGTGATTGTATGTAAATAATGAAAACGTGTCCAGTTTACTCTTGTGTTAAATACGGTCGAGGTCCGTTTCTGATCACCTCTGAAAGTTTGATCTGATTATGATCCGCTCACAATGCATTCTGGGGGTTCTGGCTTTCCATGCGGTCAGGTGAACTCTGAACATGATCAGATCACTGAAGAACATGTTAATGCAGTGAGCAGGGCTGGAGAACAGTGCGTTACCGGTTGTGCAATGTGGAGGGGGGTGACACGCCGAGAGTGACACAACCTGTACTGAGTCATGTGTTTTATTATAATTGGCGAGTCAGGAAGCAGAGCTGGAACTACTTTGCGAGCTCAGGTTCCTGCTGTGTGCTATTTGCGCATGGCACACAGGTCTGCGCCTAGCAGAGCTTGTGCTGTATTTCCAGGGGTTTGAGTTGCCACCTGACACATGGAGGGGGGGGGTGGTCAGTCGGTGGGTGGGAGAGGCTTTTCTACGCTCCTTTTTTGTCAGCATGCTGGGATCCTGTTTTGTTTTGCATGACAAGACCATTTAGTCTGAGCATCAGCAAAGTCAAAGGGCCCTTGTTGTGGAAAACCTCCCCTTTTTGAAACAAGTTAGTTGTATGTCAGAGTTTCTAAATGTTCTCTGCACATCATACGGTCCATATATGGGAACTAAGCTGCAAAAACAGTCCCTTTTGAATTCATTTTTTTTGTGATGCCACACAAACCTACACATATGTACTTACATATATTATATATATTTCATATATGTATATATCATATATATTTCATATATGTGTGTGTGTTTATTTAGCCTACAGCAGTTTAGCTCTGCCCATTTACGTTGAGGTTATAAGGAGTGTTTCAGCCTGTTTTTAAACTGAAGCCCAAGACAGGGTAGCCAATCAGAACAGATGTTGTATGCATATCACTCTTAACAGCTGGATTTTAATGGAGATGCAGGACAAACAGAACTTTTATAGCACCACCTATTGGCTGAACATGCACTCAGTCAGTGATGATTTAAAAAAAATGCCTAAACTTGGCTTTATTCTGTAAGGAAAACGAACAAAAGATTACGTGGGTACACATTTAAAGATGCTTTTTCAAGGGTTCTTTAGTAAAGAAAATGTTCCTGTATAGAACCATGAACACTAAAAGAACCCTTTGCATGATTAAATAGCTTTTTGTATGGTAAAATGGTTCTTCAGATTGATGGAGAATGTGCTGTAGACAATTCTATATAGAACCGTTTTGAAAAGGGTTCTATATAGCACCAAAAAGTGTTCTCTTGTTACAGGCTTGACTTTAACAATAGCAGACCCCTTTTTGGTGCTATATAGAACCATCTGCAGTCTGAAGAACCCTTTGATGCAAAGAATCCATTAATAAAAGGGTTCTTTGAGTGTTCATGGTTCTATGTAGAACCATTTTCTTTACTAAAGAACCCTTGAAGAACCATCTTGTTTTAAAGGGTGTTAGATATAATGTAATGAAGTAAGTGAGAAATCATGATTGTTTTTCGTTCATATTCTGTAGCACTGATGATTCCTGAGTATACCTGATGTTTTGAAATGTAAAGTTTACTCGAGATTCAGAAACTTTCACTTCAAGTCACAAAAACAGCCTGAGGATAAAGAGAGGTTGGAAAATAGTCATGCAGTAAAGAATTATGACTTGTTTTCTGTGTATAAACCCACACAGGTGTCCTAAGTGGATCCCATGCTAAAAGAATAATATAATCAGGTGGGCGATGTGGCAGAAATATAATATTAATGACACTTCAAGAAATTCTCAAGATACACAATACACCACTGACGTTTGATAAGCTGGAACAGGCAAAAAGAAACAGTAGTGCCATATTAAAAAATACTATCAAAACTATGAATACAGGTGTTTGTATTCAACTTTTCACATCCACAATTCCAATTAAACCATCCCAGGGTCTCAGTCATGTGATTTTTTTTCTGTTGTGGCTGCCATATTTGGGACCACATTTCTGGCTTTGCTGCTCTGCACAAACGTAACAAGAGGTGAAAGATGGCTATAACTACTCTCCTTACTTTGGACAAGAAAAATGTTTCTCGGCAAAGTCGATAAACAGGCTGTGATCCTTATACAGTTTCCCCTGAACTCCTGATCCCACTTAAACTGGCGGAAAGCTGCCAAATTTATATTTATCTCATACTCAGCCCCTCTCCCTATTCTGGGGGGTCTCTCAGAGCATTTAAAAGCACAGAGGCCCTACCGGTTCTTGGCGTCAGAGTGGGTAAAGGATCCCATGGTGCTGCAAAAAGAGGAGATAAACTCTGTGATCATAGGAGGGTAACGACATCAGCTAATTAACACAGATGTGAACAGTGCTGGCCTTTAGATAACTTTAGCTGATGTTATCAGCCGAGAGATGAACAGTCGTCCCCCTAACGGAGCTGCGGACAGCCGGTATAACTTCACTCTCTGTTTCTGGAGATTTAAATGATGTTTGAGTGGAGAAACATAAACGTTAAATATCAGACTGAATGTCGTGGGGCGGAAAACGACGTCGTGTTTCAACAGACGTGATTCTGTAAGTTTGCTGGTGCAGTTAGTTCAGAGTTCAGCTCCAGTCCTGAAACCCCTGCACTGCATAACTGTGGTTTCCTGGTTAAAATACCTGATATTATTAGCTAATTAAGCCCTTCTTGAGCTGAACGAGGTGAACAGCAGAGAAACACTGAACTGTACAGTTGAGCGGCTCCAAGCCTGGAGTGAAAACACTGAATTAAAGCTCTGTGTCTCTCGTCATTCTTGTCTCCTGACACATCTTGTGGGTGAATCATTCACAAAGCACAGCTAATTGAAGGCGTCGCGCAGTTCAGTCAGTCCCTGATTCAAAATGATGGCGACTACAGTGTGACGTCAGGCGAAACACTAGAATTCCATTTGTTATACAACAGTTAGTCCCTCCCGCGCAAGCTGATTGGTTGAGAGGCGTTCTAACCGTGCAGTTATTTCGCCATAACATCACGGGTTTTTCATGAACACTGTATCACTCCGCTGAGACGCTGTTGCTAAGCAACGACCTTGACAGCTGTAAGAGACGCTCAAGACATTTGAACATTTTTACTTCTTACTTTGCCACAAACAGAAAACGGACACTTTTAAGATCACATTTGACCGACAGCCGATTTGGTCAGACTCTGAAGATGAGACGACACTAAATTCCCAAACTGTCATCACCACTGAGCAGCTTTTCAGTCGGCAGCTGTGACAGAAGAACAGCTAAACAACCTGGAATCAGCCAGAAATGAACCCAACACCATTCGCCAAACGTGTAGTCTGATCTTCAGAGTCTGACCAAATCAGACGTAGCCATAAAAATACCGCAATAAAAAACAAAAAGCTGCTCAGTGGTGATGACAGTTTGGGAATTGAGTGTAAGGAGCTGAAGAACGAACTGCCAGCTGTGCAGCGAGTGGGCGGAGTTCGTTATTCTGATGTAGCAACGAGCTGCTTGTTAAGAAACGCGAATAACATCACGGCTGTGATGATCTACTGTGACCAAATCACAGTCATGATGTTATTTCGCGACAACACACTCCCTCTCGTGTTCTGTTGCTAACGATGCTGTCATTGCAACGGAACATTCAGTGTTTTTTGAGTACTGAGGATTTCCCGATACACTCCGAAAAGCATATCGTGATGTAATTTATCTCGGTAACAATATTGAATATTGTCATATTGCCCAGCCCTGGAGACAACACAGGAGGAATTCAGGACGTGGTCCCTTTAAAGCATGGTGCTGATCTGCAGTATGAGGCATTGCAGTGTTCATATTGTTAAAGGGTGTTTAAAAAAAATAGAGCATTGTAACTTACTGCAGGATCCAATCAGAGTGCAGTGCAGTGTGCTGGTCAAGTGAGAAGCCCTACAGAACCTGTTTGTATTTATTGTTTTTATTGCGAGGATGACTGGACTACAAGCAGTGACTCACAGCAGCTCTGCAGTCTACAGGTCTTGTGGAGCTGAAGCAGGAAAAACACCAGAACTATGCAGTGTAGATGAAATACAGCGCTGGAGCTGGAAAACATTGTCGTAAAGCTGCCATTCATAAGGCAATACTTCGCGTGCGTGAGAGGTGAGACGGTTCTTCAGGGGTTCTTCAGTAAAGACAGTGGTTTTGTATAGCCAAAAACATGCAAAGAACCATTTGTGTGCTTTGCATGGTGAAATGGTTCTTGGTTCTATATGGCACTAAAAGAGGGTTCTTCTATTGATACGCTGTCAAGCTTGTAACAACAGAAGAACACTATCGAATAGTTCTATATAGAACCATATACAACACATTCTCCATCAATCTGAGCAACAGTTTCACCATGCAAAGAATTATTTAGGCATGAAAAATGCGTTTGAGAGTTCATGATTCTATGTAGAACCATTGTCTTTATTAAGGAACCCTTGAAGAACCATCTTTTTAAGACTGTAGGTCTTGTAACACCTGTATGTTTGCAAACAGACACTGTTTTGTTGGCCGTGCCTCATTAAACCTGAATTACAGTGTTCCTATAAACACAGAGCTCTTCTTTCACTCTTATGTACAGCCTGAGTTTTTGTGAACAGTTGAACCATGGGACTTATCGAGGTGAGGCAAAGTGGCTTTAGTGGTGACTTTTAAGTGACATCATCATCATTGCTTTTATTTATATAGCGCCGTTCCCATGCTCACACTTTACAAAGTATCAAAATACATAATCAATAATACATAACACAGATAACGCACACAAACACACACAAATCTCCGGTTCCCACAGCTAGCAAGGGTGGATTTTACTGACCATAGTATAGAGTCACTTAGCTAGCCCAGAAAGAGTCCTTAGCTGTGGGGGAAAGTCACACACCACAACTACAGCGCATCACACAGGAAGCCTTGAAGGCCAGAAATGTCCTTAGCCACGAAGGGGTAGCATTTTCCTGCAGCCAAAGGCCACCAGTCCAGGCAGCCTTATAGCTGCAGTGCAGCGACACCCATGTGGCGGCCCAGGCAGCCACGTAGCTGTGATGTAGTGCCGCTTAGGCAGCCGGCCCAAGAGGCCTTTTAGCTGCAGCATAGCGCTGCTCATGCAGCCGAACACTACCGTTCCAGGCAGCCCTACAGCTGCAGTGCAGCATCAACCAAGCAGTCAGCCCAGGCTATGATGTCACGTCGGTCAGTCCAGGTAGCCTCCTAGCCGCAATACAGCGTCTCTTGAGCGGCCGGTCCAGACTGCATTGTAGCTGCCTCGGTGGATATGATGGCAAACTCTTCAACCAGCAGGGAAACATCAAAACATACACACAAACAATACAAAACAAACGAAAAACTGATGTAAAGCAGCAGCCATATCGCGCCAGCGTACTTACAGCGGAGCACACAAACACATTACCGTTTTTAAATAAACAGAATTTTCCTGTTACATGAATGCTGCATGTTCTGAAAGTGTAGATTTGATATAAAACTCCTATCATCCTAAGTCAAAAGAAAAGCAGCAGTGTTGGTTTGACATACCGAGTAATATACATTTACAGACTCCTGGATCTTCAGTCTGGAATACTCTGGATTTTTAGTATGACGTTCCAGTCTCCGCGGTGGTCTCTCTGATGTTTGTAGAAGCCATGGTGTTGTTGTTTCTTCTCTCTTTTTCCAGTAATGTTGTTAACGTGCATGTGTTGATTTTACAGGTACGCCACGCCCGCTGAACGCCTAGTAGCCGTTGCCTCTGAGACGTTGCCCCCCTGGCCCCGCCCTCCAGAGATGGCTGATGCCCAGAAGGCCAATGAGCTCCCGGAATGCCCCACAGAGGGCGGGGCCACAGCAGAGGAGCAGGATATGCCCCTGAGAGCCGAAACCTCGCCCACCAGCTCTCCCACGTGCGAAGAGCCAATCAGCAGTCATAGTCCTGCTAGGCCGCCGCCCCCTGGCCTGCTCTCCATGCCCTGCCTGCTGAAGGAGCTGCGCAGAGACTCCTCCCCCGAGCAGCCACTGGAAACAATTCCTACATCTTCCACTAACAGCAACGCCACCAATCAGCTCTGCCCGCAGGAGGACAGCGATTCGTCCGTCTGCCTGCGCTCGCCCTCCTCCTCCGGTCACTTAGGTGACTCCGACACGCTCTCGTCCGCCGAGGAGGCAGCCGAACCGGCCTCTGCGCCGGCTGCCGCGGGTAGCAGGAAGCCGTCGAGACGCTCACGCTCCGAGAGCGATGCTCCTGGCATCGTCATGGCGGCTAAGAAGAACCGCTGCCAGGAGAAGCAGGTGAATGGGCGTGGCCGGGGGCGGGGCCAGCGCAGCCAGCGGCAGAAAGAGCGCATGCGCATGCTGCGGCAAAAACGGGAGGCGGCGGCCCGACGCAAGCCTGACCTGCTCCAGGACAGCAGCACCAGCGACAGTGACCTCACCGCACATTCGTCATCGTCTTCGTCCTCGTCAGCCTCTTCCGACAACGAGGGAGGGGCCGTCAACTCCCACCCGCCAGGTAACGCGTGTGAAAAGCACCTACTCGACCTTGTGATGTGCAGTTCTGTGTAGAAGTCTGAGGCCCCCTGAAAGGATTATGTTTAAAGCTATTTGTCTGAGCAGTAAGTTTATTTGCAAGGAAACACAGTGGAATACATACAAATAGACACTGATAGAGTTGGTGTATCAGTACTAAACAGTTGGTGTAGGTTCTAACATTTTCAGTCCTATAAAATATTGGATTAGGCCTAGTCTTTGGTCCTGTAAAACTTTGGATTAAACTTAGTCTTTGTCCTGCAAAACATTGGATTAGGCCAAGTCTTTGTCCTACAAATCATTGGATTAGGTCTAGTCTTTGGTCCTACAAAACATTGGATTAGACCTATTCTTTGGTCCTATAAAAAATTGTACTAAGCCTAGTGTTTGGTCCTATAAAACATTAGATTAGGCCTAGTCTTTGCTGTTGTAAAACACTGGATTAGGTTTAGTCTTTGGTCCTGTAAAACAATGGTTTATGCTTAGAATTTAGTCCTACAAAACATTGGATTAGGCCTAGTATTTGGTCCTATAAAACATTGGATTAGGTCTTTGGTTCTACAAAACGCTGGATTAGGCCTGTTCTTTGTTCTACAAAACATTGGATTAGGCCTATTCTTTGGTCCTATAAAATACTGGATTAAGCCTAGTATCTTGTTCTACAAAACGCTGGATTAGGCCTATTCTTTTGGTCCTATAAAACATTGGATTAAGACTAGTATTTGGTGCTATAAAACATTGAATTATGCCTTTTCTTTGTCCTACAAAACATTAGATTAGGTCTAGTCTTTGCTTTTATAAAACATTAGATTAAGCCTATTCTTTGGTCCTATAGAACATTGGATTAAGGCCTAGTATTTGTTTTTATAAAACTTTAGATTACGCCTAGTTTTGGTCATATAAAACATCGGATTAGGCCTGGTCTTAGACAGAATTGCAGTCCCAGTGGTGAAACAGCATTGGAAATTCTGTATAGTCTAGGCATGCATTACATTTTTTGGCCGAAAATGACCAAAATGGCATTTCCAGCATTCGAAAGAGAGTAAAATGACCAAACCTTTATCCCAGTTTTAGGTTAATTTTTTCTTGCTAACCAGTGATTTCAGTGATCATAAATCCAGAGCTCAGGTTATCAGGTGGCGACACACAAAGATTAGACTGAATATACACACTGACACCGAATAGCGGGTCAAGTAATAAGCGTGTCTCACTGAAGTTTGGTGCATGTTGACTGAATGACCTAAATACACCACACACTCTGGCTGCTCACAAGCGCAGACAGAGGTTATTTTGGAGGGCCATTCATTCTTATTACTTTTTTCATTCATAGTGCTGCACACACACACACACACAGCCAAGGCCACCTCTGATGTATGAATGCTCAGAACATATGAATGCACGTTTATGACGGGCATTTCACTTTGCTTAGTGTTCTTGATGCTTGCATGGAGAATGATGTCATATTCAGACTGCTGACAGTAGAATATGTGACCCCAAAATCAGTCAAGCCACTTCTGAGTGTCACTTCTCACTGGTTCCCCAAAACCCTTGATCATGTTCCAAATCCAGTGACCCCATGATGAGTTAACAGTGGGCCATATGACGAAAATATAAACAGGCTGAATCCAGTGGCTCCCTACGCGCTATATGAGTGAGTTTTTGGCTTCTGTGCCCGAATAGTGCACTACATGTCCAGTAGGGAATTGTGCACACTATGCAGTGCACTAAATAGGGCGCAGGGAGCTATTTGGGATTCAGCCCCTGATATTTTCATGATGCATGATACGCTTCACGATGTTCTGTTTTTCTAAGGTTCAAGAGCAAGTGGGATAAAATGCACCAGAAAAACAGGAGAGCCATGTTAAAATGAGGTTTTGTGGAACATAAAAAAAATACACTGTTTAAGAAAGAATAGAATGAAAAGTCAAACAACATTTGCGTTTGCAGAAGGAGATGCAGAGCTTGCAAGAGAGGCAAGAAAATATCATAGAATATATGTAAGGAATGAGTCACAGAATTCAGATGTAATAAAATGGGAAAGAAAGGAAAAGGGGAGAAGAAAAATAGAAAAAGGATGGAAGAAAAACAAAAGAAGGAAAAACAAAGAGGATGGAAGAAAGGAAGGGAGAAAAAGAAAAAGGAAGAAGAGGGTGAAGAAAGAAAGAATGACAAAGGAAGGAATGAAGAAAAAAAGAAGGTAGAAAGAATGAAAAAGGATAGAAGAAAGGAAGAAGAGACAAACGAAGGAAGCAGGAAAGAGAAAGAAAGCAAAGAAGGAGCGAAAGAAGGACGGAAAAGGAAAGAAGAAGAAAAGAAATGGAATAAAGGAAGGGGGGGGAAAACGAAATCAACTCCCTTAAGTGCAGATATGGAGGGATGAAAATAAAGGGGTGCGTAAAGAGAAGTGAGGAGGTTTAAAAGCTGTGAAAGGGAGAGCAGAGAACAGAAAGAGCCCTTTAAACGAGATTAACCAATCAGCTTCAAGGGCTTTATGACATCATCAAGGGTCTTAGGATTCCACCATACAAGTCTGTGGGAAAATGAACAGCTTTTAACTAAAATACTTTGGGAAATAGAAAAGTTTTGAAAATGAACAATAAATAGTGGGAAGTTTGAGCTGTATTGACTGAATAATAAATGTGTTACAAGCACTGTAATAAGTGATTGTAATAAGATGTCGTAATGGGCTGATATCCAATCAGCTTCTTAAAGTGTATGCAGTTACTGTACCCTGGCTGCTGTTTACAGACTCTGTAACTGGTCTAAGTCTTTTTATGATACAGCCAGTTGCTCTGTGTTCCAGATGTGTTGATACCACATATTCAGAAAAGCACATTGTGACCTAATGTATCACAATAATGATAGCATACTGTTAGAGCTGGGCGATACGGCCAGAAATGTTATCACGATAAACAAAATTCATATCGTTCGATATCGATACATACCGCGATAAATGTCAAATCGTTATTTCTTTCAAGTTTGAAGGCTGATTTTTGGTCCTGGGGGTTAATTGCTGTTTTAAACTATCCTTTATGGTCGGAACACGACAAACAGTCAAACAGTGGGACATTTCACAGATCTGTCATGGGACAGTGGGAGAAAGTGTCTGGTGAGCTGTTTTTACCAGCTGGAAAAGCACGGCTATTTTGTAACAGTCATAATTTAAGAAAGAAAACAGATTATTTTTAGCTGGTGCCGAGCGCTCGGCTACCCCGCTACAAAGACATCACTGTATTCAGACACCAGCTAGACGACTGGATTTCTCTATACTATCGTAGTAGTTTAAGTGGTGAACCGCAAAATATCAACACCAGACAAACAGAGTTCTCCTTTTAGGTACGTTTAAACTGAAAGCGGTGCTTTTGTGTCGTGTTTGATCCACAGTATCATCAATTCTCCCGTGTTGTGCGAGTGACGGTGCGCTGCTTCAAGTTAGCCAGCTGCTAAAAACAGCTAGCCTGGAAAGATAGCGCTCTCCCGCTCTCCAATGCCTCACAGCTTCCTCAGTTTACTTTCGTTTAAATCAGGGCTGTAATTTACATGAACCCACTTCTTTTTTTCACTTTCGTTGCTTGGGAATGCACCAATACTTAAATATGACTGTCCGAGCGCTGTAACAGTGCTGTAGTTGTGAGGATTGTGATTGTGATTTAACGCTGCTAAAGCTGGTTAGGATGTACAGAAAGAGGTGAGTTCGCTGTAGGACAGTATAGTTACACCACTGACCTCGTCACTCAGACTCGGTCACAGGAGAACAGATCGCTCTATCGAGGAAAAGTTATATTGCGATAATTATCGTTATTGTTTTATCGCCCAGCCCTACATACTGTCATATTACCCACCTCTACATGAACAGTGGTGCCTTTCCCGGTTCACAAACATTAGCAGGTACATTTTCATCCCCACATCGATACAAAAATGGTGTCCCAAACATGTGGACAGTTGTCAGTGTCAGTGGTTCATTGCATGCCGAGTTAGCTTGACTTACTGTTGCTATGGAATCTTTAACCTCTTATGTTCGTGGGTGTATTTTGGTTTGTCCATCTGAACTTACATGCGCAAATCCTAAGGCAAATTATTCAGTAACTGCATGAGATAAATGTACATTTAAATGAACAGAACGTGTTTTATGATCTACACATATTGCTATATGCTTACAATTTACTGCTGAAAGCCTAAAATCTTAGACGCTCTTTGTATTATTTTATAAAAATAATTCTTACAGAGCAGATCACTGAAGAGACGCCATCTGTTTATAGTTTATAGCCCAGATTTGTGGAAAAATTGTGACTTCAGCTTCTTTCATTATAAGGGTAAAAAATTACATCACCCATCTATTTGACTGGAAAGAAGACAGTGACAGCTTTCATACGACACCCAGCTTCTGAATGTAGCTTATAAAATATGACAGTTATGAAGTAAAGGATATGACTAAGTGTGTTTTGGAACCAAGAGTTAAAGAGGTTTTAACTGACCCTAAATGGCAGAAATAGATGTAGGTGTGTCACATGCCTTGATAAATCTGCTGCCTAACCAGAGACAGTAACAGATTTTTCCAGTTTCAGAATCATTTGTCAAACGAGTAACTGGAAATGGGTTTTTCTGTGATCCTTGCTTATACTACCATTTTACCATTTAGACTGATTCACTTGGGATGTTAATAAGCCCTACATTTTCAATAGTTGTGTCTAAATTTATTTTCAGGAATTGTGAGGAAGTTGCAGAGAAAAGTAATTAAATTTAGATTTAATTTTACAATTTATTTATTTATTTATTTTTTGTTTTTTAAAAACACTGACCAGCTGCATGTTTCATTACAGAGTCAGCATAATTATGTCTGGTTAATTGGCATTAGTGCAGTTTGTAAAACATCATTAAATAACTGTAAAAATCATTTTAGTTGAAGATTTGTTATTATTGCTATTGCTGTATTTTTATATGTGCCACTGCAGGTTCTGTTTTGCCTGTTCCAACTTATTAAAT